CAACATTTGGTGGTGGTAAAGTATTATAACTTATAGGCACTTTTTTGATGATTTCTGAATGTACATCTTCTATATTGAATTAATTTACACGAGTCTCTAACAATATATTCAAAATATTTTTATACATTATTAAAAGGTTATTAGTAGTTAGAGATTCCCTGAATAGTGGTTTATTAATGAATTCATAGTCTCCAATTAAGTCATTAAGAGAAATAGAAAGAGTGAACTAAAATATCATTTGTAATGTTGCATGTGAAGTTTATCACATAATATCAAAAATATTGCCATACGAGAATGTAGAAACTTTAAAATCAATATTGTCAATTACTGCTAAATTTCAAATATTTGATCCCTCAATTAAATTCTCTCTAGGGTCTGTATGATGTATTCTAAGTTTTTCAAGACGATTTTTATGCCTTTTAGTATAAGATATGATACAAACTGAATAAAAAATCTCTCATAAGTATAGCAGTAATTTTAGTTTTTAGCACATTGATGATATGATGTGTAAAAGCCAAATTTTCACTCCAAAAAAAGCGATAGTTAGTAACATAGAGGCCAGTAAAGTAGTCATTTTTGATATTTGACTTGTATTGAAAGATTTTGGAAGAAGTTCATATTAATGTCTTTTTTTATTAATAACATTTTGTTTTTGTTATTATAGTACTATAATGAGAGCTTGAAAGAAACCATAAATGATTTTAGACAATGCTTCAAAATAGTTTTCATATGAACTTGGGTTTTCTAATTGACTGATATTTTGCTGAATTTCAGAATACAAAAATAAAATTTCTCTTCCTAATTTTTCTCCCATCATCGAAACCTTTTTCAGAGAGATCTTTCCATTAATCTATTCAATTCAACTTTTCCTATTCTCATTGCTGTTCTAACAAGTAACTTGCTTGAAAGTTTTGCCATTTCCATTTCTGATGAGCTTTTATCCATGGTTCCATTGTTAAAAATAGTTAATGTTAGGGTTATCAAAGATAGGAGTCTTTCTTGTAACTTATTATTATTTGATTCTGCTACTGATATTATCTATCTTCTGATATGTTTTAGAGTGTTACTTGCAGCATCACAATGTTTTCTACGTTCAGTACATAATATGTTCTTTTGACCTTTACCTGGTTTTTTGCATAAATGTCCACCCTGATTTTGAAAGCTTTTTAAACAGATATAATGTACACAATAGCCTGAAGATGAATTTTTTGTAATAGATCCTTCAGTAAATACAGAACAGTTATGAACACTAATATAAGATACTTGAATATTACGCCCATTAATGCTTCATAAATACTTTTTGCAACTGTTACTACAGCTAAAGAAACATTTTTTTATTACAGAAAATGCAGAAGCGAAAATGGATAATACTCTGCTCAATCGAACATGATTGTTTTATGCCTTTATTATAAAATTAGTTCTGATTGAAAAGAAAATGAGAATAACATACCCCAAGCTGATAAAGATTACTCTTAACATCTTTAACTGCATCTGCGTCTATCTCTCATGTCCCTACCATTTGCTCCAATTGCTATTAGTTTACCATACTATTACAACATTTTATTTCACCTTGAATAGTATCTATAATTACACATATTGTTAAATTTATGCCTTGTGTGAAGATCCTTTCAATTTCTACATCTATATCATCATATATTGTTTGAAAGGAATTGCTACAAGAGTCAGAATCTTCAGGTTCAACTTTGCTCTAATCCATGTCATCATTTTCATCATCATTATTTAATAAGACTTGAGCACTTGCAAGAACAATTTGATCAATATTCTTTTTATTACTTTTTTCGAAAGCATTAGTGCTACATTCCTCAAAATCATATAAGTAAATTCAGAATCACTCATTTTATTTTGAATTATTATTTTTCACGGAAACTTAATTATCGTAAATACGTAAGTGTAATTTATTTAAAGGCAAAAATATGCATACATGTAAAATTTGTATAACAAAATAAGATTGATATTTTTTAATTTAAACAAAAGCAAATTTATTTTATTACAAAGAATGGAATTAAGAATTTTATATTTAATGAGAATTATTTTTTAAAAAGAGATGAAAATTATTTTTTATTTCATTATTTTAATATAATATCACTTTTACATCGTTTTTGCAATTTTTCAATTACTAACTACATTCCCTTCACAAATAGTTTTCTAATTATGCAGATTTCCCTAATAGCTAAGTATCTTGAATATATTTAACTCATTAATTATTAATAAAATTTATGTATTTTCAATATAACACTTCTCTTGATCAATTCTGGGTCAGAACTACGTAGACAGAGTTTGTCAGGGTTGGAAAATTCAGATTAGATTCTTAATATAAATCTGGATTGTTCTTGAAGTATATTCGATGCTATATAATAAAGAAGAAACAATTAATCAGACCAATCGATTAATTATATATTTGTGATATTAACAAATAGTAGCAGAAATGAATCTGAAGTTAAATACATTAATTGCTTTGTCTGATTCCTTAATATTTAAAATCTAAAACCTCATCCTATACTCACTTAGTTAAAAAATATTTTCCTTTATCTGAAAGCATACTCTGCTAAAAAGGTTTTTAAAAGATAATCAAGGTTTATGATTAAATCATTTTCTTTCATCTCAATATTGGTCTGAAGAAAATGGTTGAAGTCTGATTAACTAAATGTTCTCTAAACCCATGTTAAATAAATTAAGCGAAGCGATTTTTCAAAAGAAATTGATAAGTGAAGGGACATATAGGCATAAATGATAAATTTAAGGTCTTAAATAATAAAAACTGTATATTATTACAAGGGTTAGTACACACTAACTTCAAATGAAGATTCTCTTTGAACTAAAAAAAATAGAGGTTGGGACTTTACAATACAATAAAGAAATATCACAATTATATTTCTGACTTAAATAGTAATAGATAATCGGTTTCACAAAAATAAGGTTATCATAGGAGAAACTTTTGTAAAAGCAAAATTTTCCATATAAAAATAAAGTGATCGACATCTAATTACCATATGAATAACATTTGAACCCCTGTAATAGGGACATATCCCATGACTGATAAATATACAAAATTTTAAACGATTTATATATTTCTATAAAGTATTCTAGATTATTTCTAACTTATGCTATAAAAATTCAAATATTTAGAATTATTTTAAAAATCAATTCTTCCTAAAAGGTTAAGGTCGACAGTTACAAAAATTTGATCACGATGAAATTCAAACTGAGAAAAAAAATTATCACAAGCGAATAAAGAAATGAATTCAAAAAGTAATAATTTTTTTTTTTTGGTTCTAATCTTTTTTTATTTTTTAGGAAATCGGAATCATTAGTATTAATTACTATCTTCAAGTACTTGGTAAGTTTTGCGAAGGTTTATTTTTTTTTATTATTAAAACTTTTGAACTTCGCTATTCATACAGTAAATGGAGATGGGACGCATGTGAAATTATCAATCATGATTTTATAAAATCATTTTGCTATTAGTTTGCTAAAGAATTTCGTCAAATAAAATTTTTGGTTGTCTTTTGAAAATAGTGGAGTTTAATTCTAAGAATCGACTCCGATCCCAACGGTTAAGAAGTTTTGAATTCAAACTGAGATGATTAAATAAATTTTTGCAAAGTATTCTTGAGCAAGTTTATCAATGAAATATTTATTCATTCGTTATAAAATTTTTTAAAAATTATCCGTGCATTTTGAACTTACCGTTACTCGAAGATGAAATCGCGAGCTAAAAAATAAAAAAATTTCTTAATTCTTTCACGTTTCTGGAAGTGCAACCGGTTCAGAAGCCATTGCCCCGTGAGAATATGACTTCTTACCAAGTCACTCATTCCCATGTAATCTTTCCTTTTAACCTTCCACGCTGATGTTCAAACTTTTCTTATTGGATAACGATCGTGTAGAGAAGACCGAATATGTAAATTCACAATTTACAATATAAAGACATGTTTGCAATTACAATGTTTCATATTTCTTTTTTTTTTTTTTTTAAAAAAAAAAAAGGGTTTAAAAATGTTGATGATAGCGTTGAAATTTTACTTCTTTATTGAACAAAAATTTTTTCTTTAATAACTTATCAGAGAACCTTATAATCTTCAAAGAACCTTGTATAATATGATAAAGTAAGGAAATTCTGATTAATATTTACCTTGTATCAATATAAAATATGCTCGCCAAATGCTAGCTGCGCACAGGAAAAAAAAAAAAGAAATTGGTAAAAACGCGACTACCGGTTTTTTGGAAAAAAAAAATTATTTATTTTTTATTTTTTTTTTTTGACATGTCGTTCTTTTACCTGCACCTAATTAACACGAGACCCTCTTAAAATGTTAAGGGAAAAAATCAAATTTTTTTTAATAAACTAATAAAGATTTAAAAATAAAAAACCTAAAAATAATCATTATGATCGATCCTTAAATTGCTTGGATACGGTCGATCGCATTGTTCTAATTTATTTAGCTTTTTTGTACAAAAACGTTTTCCCTTGAAATTCAAAGTGTAATTGTCTATTGAAGAAAAAGGAAAAAAAAAAAAACGCCGCCATTTGATGTGTTTACTGCGGCGATAATCTTTTTTTTTTTTTTTTGAATAATTTGAATAAGTAAAAAAAAAAAAGGCTTTTTTGTTATCACTAAATAAAGGATAACAATGATAATGACAGCCATTATTTCTTTTAATATTCGCAGACTAAATTATAGTTGGATTAGGGGATTACTTCTCATGGGAGTTTTCTCGTTCGAAAAAAAAAAAAAAAAAAATTACAATCTAATTATCGATCCCCCACGAAAGGTTTCTTTAGCTAATTGGAAATTGAGATGTCACGAACCACATAAATTCTATACAATAGGTATAACACATCACTATAAAAATACCAAATAAAAAAACCAATTATAATAACAAGACATAATAATAACGAAGCGATTCTATCAAATGTATTATTATAGTCATCGTCAGATGTTGTATCAATTTTCCTTTTAAGTGGTGTCTGAATAAGATCAATGAAAATCAGATTGATCATTCATATCTTGCAACAAGAAAAACAAAGCGTGATGAGATGAACTTACGATTACTGTTGCATCTCGAATTTCTATGGTGGAACCATGAATAAGATTTGAACTTGATTTTGGAATTTCTTGGAATCGTTCCTTAAACTTGTTTCTCATCTCAATATATTCTATTGGTATGACTACTCAAAAAAAAAAACAATGTCACAACATAATTATGATAAAAAAAAAAAAAGAATGTGAAAGAATTTTGCAAATACGTACAATCATTTTGGTATGAATTACCTTTACTAGTATTATTTGTGAAATTAAAATCCATATTAAATTAAAAAATTTTTTTCTTTCAAAGAACAAAAGAAAAGGAAACTTCATTTAAATAAGATTTTATTGTTTTAGACAATGCATTACGATGTCACTTACCCATGACATTTGCATTAAAAGAAATGCATGATAAAGCTAGAAATTGATCATATTGCATGGATATCTATTTTCCACTGTTGTTTGATGATGCAATCCCTGTCGTTGAAACAAATTTCGCACAGATTCATCTTTGTTTCATAAGATTCAAATATAAGGAAAAATCTTAAAATTTCTTTATTGTCGTTGCGCAGGTGCCTCTCTTTTTATTTTTTATTTTCTCGAAAGAAAATTCGAAACTAAAATGGTTATATATATTTATTACACCGCATGCTTCATGAAATGATTGGCCGCTTTAGCATTGTCAATGGGAACCGGTTTTTAAACATGTAAGTTTAATTATTTTGCCACTACCTATGTCAGTAATAGTATACGCCAAATGAAAAAAAAATAAAAAAATTCCCGCACACAGGAAAAATCAAACATAAATCGGGAAAAAAAATCATAACAATTTTCCACTATGAAATTCCCTATTTCTTGATAATTTTTGTTATACATTTTGAGAACCTTTTTTTTTTAAAAAAAAAAAATAAAAAAAATTTTATTGGGTGTAACCTTTACAAATTAAAATTTACGAAAAGAAATTAAATAACAAAAAAATAAAAATAAAATAATAAATAATATTTTATTCTTAAATCTATTTTTAACTTATTGTAAAAAGTAAACAAGTCTCGATTTGCATGTGCTTTTTGGTACACGCCAACTCAAACCTCATATTAACCAGTTGTAAACATAATCTTTTCATCAAGAATTGTTGAATCAAGTAATCATGATCTATAGAATCCTACCAAATGTACTCTAGTTAATTTATATTTTGAAAAGATGAACAAAAGGAAAAGGAAAAAGAGAATATTTAATTTATCTTTTTTCACGTTAAATCAGAAAATGAAATTTCCTTTTTTTTAACAACTTATTCTAAAAAAAAAGGAGGAATTCAAAACAGATTATTTGGCTGAAATCAAAGTATTATTTTAGATTCTATTTTTATTATACTTTTGTACTAAGACTCTTGAAATTTCTTTTTGAAAAAAGTTAGACACGGGAAATAATGATGTAATGTACACTTAAATTACAATGAGAAATTCAGTGAAAAAGGATTCTTCTCAAAAGAAAGTGAATTGTTATAAATACGAGCAGATTCAAACGACAAAATTCGACATTTCAGAACAACGTTCATTTCTGAAATAAGAATAAATTCAGTAGACCTTTTTTTGTAATAATTTTTCTTCTCCTCTCAGTAGACCTAAAAAAAACAAATAATAATAAATGATGATGCTTATCAAAGGTGCTATCCTTGTCATCGCCCTCTTATCTTCACTCGTCATCCATGCTGAGGCCGAAGATTGTAAAACGACCTCGACTTACAAAAAATATGAAACCTACCCAGTCTACAAGACGGATTACAAGTACGTGACCGTTTATAAAACGGATTACAAGACCTACCCGGTTTACAAGACGGACTATAAGTACGAGACCAAGTACAAGACCGAGGTTAAATACGTCACCAAAACTGATTACAAAACTGATTACAAAACTGATTACAAGTATGAAACCAAAACCAAGTATGCTACTTATCCCGTCTACAAGACCGATTACAAGACCGAATACAATACAGTTTACAAGACATATTACAAGACCGATTACAAGACCGATTACAAGACCGAGACCAAGTACGAGACCAAGTACGAGACCAAGACCAAATACGAAGTCAAGACCAAATACGAAGTCAAGACCAAATACGATATTGAAACTAAATACACCACCATTCCAGTCTACAAGACCGAATACAAGATTGAATACAAGAAAGTGGATAAATATGATTCCAAAGATAAATATTAAGCTGGTGATCCGCGAACTAATTGCTTCTTTTTGGAAAAGAGAGCTGAATGGCCTCTAATTTCTCTTTTATAAACTTTTTTTTTTCTATTTACTTTTAATTTTTTCTTGTAATCAGTTGTTTATCATATTAATAGTAGTAATAGGTGTTAGAAAATGTTGTAGCTACAATTTAGTTAGTTCTCTACGAAGAACCAATTCCTAATTAGATAATGAAAGAGTAAAAAAAAAACTAATTACTGAAGCTAAATATAAACCAGTTGCTGAAAATACACTTTAAATAATACCGATTACTTATATAAATAAACAAAATAAATTCGTCATTTCTTAAAATATTAAATCGCGATTATACATTTTTGATTTTAATCTCTTTCGAATTTCGTTTGCCAATCGTTCCAAATTTTGTATTCGATAGAATTATTGTTTTTCGACTTGTGTAGATCATCCCCAAAAATGGTCGGGTCACAAGTAATGTTAATACATTGATCGCGTTGTAAAGTTGGTTGACGCGTTTAATCTTTTTTTTTTTCGAATTTACACAGTCAAAATGCACTTAATAAAGCCTAGCTGGCTTGCTCATTTAGGTCAATAACTCGATCATTTTTTTAAGATATTAAAGTTAGTCGCTATTCATTATAAGACTGATAAAGGAAAAATTTTTTCTAGATAATAAAAATCAAAGAACTTCGATTTTCTCAATACACGTACATCCTGACGGAACTATTATAGCGACTGGCGGACTTGGTAGGCCTTTTAGCCTATTTATAGTCTTTTAAAATCGAGTACATGTTATAAATTTCCGTGTAATTTTAGATAATAAGATCAAATTATGGAATACTTTACCTATAATTGATGGTAGCAAGGCCGTCGATCCTAACGTTCCAAATTTATTGTGCACCTTGGCCTTACATAATGGTTCGTTACGTTTATTTTGATTTCTATTATTTAAAATGAACTAATTAACGTAATTTAATTATTTTTTACAGGTTCAGTTCTCTGTGTAAGATGGTCTAACAGAGATGGTCGTTATTTGGCATCGGGTTCAGATGATCAACTTTTATTCATTTGGGAATGGGATAAGTAAGGAAATCATTCCATTGTTAATAATCATTATTAAAATCATATTTTTTAAATCGTTCATATCTTTAGATCAACTGGTGATCGTGTCGGTGAAGACGTTTTTGAAAGCGAAGAACGAAGCATCGAGAATTGGAAAGCTGTACGTCGACTTACAGGACATCAATCAGGTAAAATAGTTTTATATCGTGGGCTGTTCTAATATTGAATTTAATATATTTATTTATTAAAGATGTTGTGGACCTTGCGTGGTCAAGAGATAATACTTATTTGGCCTCATGTGGATTAGACAATTTAGTGTTCATATGGGATGGTGTAACATTTGGTAACCGAGTCATTATAATTGATTTAAAAAATGTAAAATTTTTATATTCATCAACTGAATTTAATTTTGTAGAAAGGTTACATAAATTAGATACGCATCAAGGATTTGTCAAAGGTGTAACTTGGGATCCCGTGGGCGAATATCTTGCGACCGAGGTAATCCACATGTTTTTTTTTTATGCTCCAACTTCAAAACATTTGGTTATTGATATTGAAATCCTTCAAATAAATTTGCACAGTCAGATGATAAAACCGTCAAAGTTTGGAGAACATCGGACTGGAAAATACAAGCCGAAATCAGCGAACCATTTGCAAGTTCAACCTCAACGACATTTTACCGTCGATTAAGGTGATTTTTTTTTCTTTTTATTGATAAAATCCTCTTCAATAAATCAAGGCAACATTGATTTTATGCAGTTGGTCTCCGGATGGATCACATGTTGCTACTGCGAATTGTGCACAAGGGTCCGTTCCGGTCGCTGCAATATTTAATAGAGGTGAATGGAAACCTGATGTTTCATTGGTTGGTCATGACTCTGCCATTGAAGTGGTGGTATGTATTAATGACATCTTTTGCTTTTTTTTTTTTTTTTAAAAAAAAAAAAAATTTAAAAAAATAATTAATTATACTAATTATACTTATCTAATGATATAGTCGTTCAATCCAGTTATTTTCATGATACCCGAGAGCGATGACGTTAATCCTGATCCTGAATCTGCTGGCGTTGACAGTATATGTGCAGTAGGAAGTCAAGATCACAGTATTTCTGTGTGGGTGACTCGGAATGCGCGACCTTTATTTGTATGTCAAAAACCGTTTGATCATAGCGTTTTGGATCTAGCATGGTAAGATTTAAGCTATTATAATAGTCATCGTACCAGTAATGATTTAATTGTTTAATTTAGGTCACCTGATGGTACGCACCTTTACGCTTGTTCGCATGATGGTACCGTGGTGGTCTTACAATTTCTCAATAATGAATTTGGAACACGATTGCCATTGGAAGAACAAGTATGTTAAACTCTGTTTAAACATTTTTTTTTTGCAATTAAGTAATTATATTATTTATTAGGACAAAATTCTTGCCAAGTATGGAAAGATCCCATTATCCTAGAAAATACAGCTAATTTTTTCTGTGAAAAGAGCCACTTTCTACTGTAAATAAAAATTCGTCATCGGAGAGTTTCTAAAATTAAATTATGAAGTGATCATTATGCCAATCATTTCTAAAAATAATGATTATGATGATAATGATAATGATATTAGAAAATTTTGGATTTTAGCTTAATTGGCTGGACTTTTGATGTCGGTCGCAGAAATTTTTTTTTTTGGATAATTTATTCAATTGTAAAATTTGTAACTTTATATACATAATTCAAATTTAAGGATTAAAAATTTGTTACCTTTATCAACTATTGTAAATTTCCCGTGACGTGATTTAGTCTTTACTTTGTTTCACAAACGTTGATCCGATTATCAAGCCACGTTTTGTTGGGGTTACAAGAACTTGTGTAAAAGTGGATAAAATATAAAAAGGATTATTTTAATGCAAACTTTCCGTTCGCGTTGTAAAGTTGACGCGTATAAACTTTTTTTTTTTTCGAATTTCGTTGGAGCTTTTATACATTGTTAAAATGCATTTAGCAAAACCCAGTTGGCTTGCCCATTTAGGTGAATAACTCTTTAAAAGTATTTAAGTTAATCACATCATTATATTCTAATCTCTAATAAAAAAACAAACAAACAAACCAAAAAAAAAAAAAAAAAATTATCTCTTGCTAATTCTTCTAGATGACAAAAATCAAAGAACTTCGATTTTCTCAATACACGTACACCCTGACGGAACTAGAATAGCAACCGGTGGACTTGGTTGGTTTTTATTCCATTTTTATAATCTTTAATATTTCAAGCGAATTCACGAATTAAGCTTTATTAATAATTACTTAAGGCAAGAAATTCTTATAAATACACTACAATTTCTAAACTTTTGGAAATTAACGTGTAATTTTAGATAATAAAATCAAACTATGGAGTACTTTACCAATAACTGATGGTAGTAAAGCTCTCGATCCTAATGTTCCAAATTTATTGTGTACCTTGGGCTTACATAATGGTTCGTTACATTTGCATTTGGTTTCTATTATTTGAAATAAACTAATTAACGCGATTTATTGATTGATTATTTTTTCAGGTTCGGTTCTCTGTGTAAGATGGTCTAACAAAGATGGTCGTTATTTGGCATCGGGTTCAGATGATCAACTTTTATTAATATGGGAATGGGACAAGTAATTAAATTTATCGAATTTCCCGTTGTTTGTTAAAATCATTTATTTAATGATATTTTTAATTTGTGCTTATGCTAGATCAACCGAAGGTTGGGCTGGTGGAAGCGTTTTTGGAAGCGGTGAACAAAACATTGAGAATTGGAAAGTTATACGTCGTCTTACAGGGCATCAATCAGGTATATAGTTATTGTCTATTGATTCATATTTTCATAAAATGTTAAATTAACTGATATATTTTTTTATTTAACTAATGAAGATGTGGTGGATCTTGCGTGGTCAAGAGATAATACTTATTTGGCCTCATGTGGATTAGACAATTTAGTATTCATATGGGATGGTCGAACATTTGGTATGCGAGTTATTTATAATTGGTTTAATATATAACATTTTATGTTCATGAAATCCTTTAATTTTGCAGAAAAGTTGCATAAATTAGATATGCACCAAGGATTTGTCAAAGGCGTAACTTGGGATCCCGTGGGCGAATTTCTTGCAACCGAGGTAATACACATGCCTTTGTGTTCTAACTTCATAGCATTGATTTATTGGTATTGATTTTCAAATAAATTTACAGTCAGATGATAAGACTGTCAAAGTTTGGAGAACATCAGATTGGAAAATCCAAGCCGAAATCAGTGAACCGTATGCAAGTTCACCCACAACGACCTTTTACCGTCGGTTAAGGTAAATTTTCTTTTTCGCTGATAAAATGTTAGCCTCTTTGAAGTACATTTAATCAATCATTAATTACTAATTTGTTCCCAGTTGGTCTCCGGATGGATCACATGTTGCTACTGCGAATGGTGCACAGGGGCCCGTTCCAGTCGCTGCAATATTTAATAGAGGTGAATGGAAACCTGATGTTTCATTGGTTGGTCATGACTCTGCCATTGAAGTGGTGGTATGTATTAATGACATCCTTTGCTTTTTTTTTTTTTTTTTTTTAAAAAAAAATAAAAATAAAAAATAATAAATTATACTAATTATACTAATCTAATGATATAGTCGTTCAATCCAGTCATTTTCATGATACCCGAGAGCGATGATGCTGACCCGGAATCTCCTGAATCTGCAAGTGTTGGCAGCGTATGCGCAGTAGGAAGTCAAGATCACAGTATTTCCGTGTGGGTGACTCGGAATGCGCGACCTTTGTTTGTTTGTCAAAAACCGTTTGATCATAGCGTTTTGGATCTAGCATGGTAAGATTTTAAGCTTTTTATGTTTATGATCCAGTCATAATAATTTGATTTAATGATGTTTAATTTAGGTCACCTGATGGTACACATCTTTACGCTTGTTCGTATGATGGCACAGTGGTGGTCTTACAATTTCTCAATAATGAATTTGGAACACGGTTGTCAATGGACGAACATGTAATTATTCGCACGTTGCCATTTTCATCATGCTTGGAAAAAATATATATATATTTTTTTTTTTACAATTAAAGTATTTGATTGATTAATAGGACAAAATTCTGGCCAAGTATGGATTTGTGCCGAAAGATCCAATTATCCTAGAAAACACAACCCAACTTTCTATGGAGGGGGCACTAGCTATTGCAAACAAAAATTCGTCTTCAGGTAGAATAGCTGCGCTAATGAGTGATAACCAAGAATTACCATCTTCACCACCTATCGTAATTTCTGATACGGTCGATAAAAAGGGAAATTTTGGATCACCGTCATCAGCACCGTCGCAAACCATTACTCTCACGAAAGATGGTAAAAAGAGAATACAACCCCAATTTATAAGAGGGTAAAAATTTTTTATATACGTTCTGTTGGTGTAAATCATGTGATTGACCAAATGTGCTGTTAAATATTGAATGTGTGTCACAACATCTCTTTATCTAATTTTCAGGCTTACATCTTCTCCCGGTGCTCCACTTCGTCCACCTATGCTTATGCAAACTGTACATCTACAACCGTGATATTTAATTTTATATGTAATTTGATTAATCTATTTTCTATCGTTAATTAATTTTTTTTATTCAAAATAGGACAATATTAGTTCTCCAACAATGAATGGTAATATTTCTAGCGCTGCAGTATTTTCTCAGTTACAACAACGACCTTTGATTTTGGATCAAACAAGTGGTTTAGATGCACCTTCTCGCTCATTACCGGCTGGTGGAATACCCACATTACTTATTGGAAATAAACGGAAAGAATCATTTGCGTCAGAGATAGCTTCTCAGTCAAACAAGAGGCAGTCTTTTGGTAAATCAAGAGCCGATTCAGTCATAGAAACCGAGGGTCACGTCTTAAGATCAGGATTAGTCCCACCATCAGTAACAATGTCACAGGTGAGGCTAGCCTCTCACAAAGTTAAAGATTACCTCGCCAAGGAACGCCTTGATGGTACAACGTTAAAGTTGGAGTGTTTCAACAATAGTGCAAAAGGTTTGTCAACTCATCGGTTATGTCTGACTTGTTTAATCTCAACTGGCAATGGAAATTTTTTAATAGTAAATGTGACTGCTTTAATGTAGGTCCATCACAAATAGTGTGTACTCGTGGTAAGGTGATGGTTTGGGTGGATTTTGTCCCGAGTTCAATCATACTTTTAACGGGACATTCTCAATATTCCGCTGTCGCTTGTGAAGACGGTAGTTTATTCATATATTCTAGCGCTGGAAGAAGGTTGTTAAAAATAATTGTATATTTGTTATAAATCGATGATCACGAAGAGAATCGTTAATTCAATTTCTACTAAATTTCGACAGGTTATTACCGGTTATAATGCTTGAATCAGCCGCATCATTTTTAGAAATTTGTCGTGAATATTTACTTTGCATAACTCAAACTGGTCTAATAAGCATTTGGTGGGTTATGAATGAAAAGTTTCTATCCTTATTATCATCATCTTTATTCGAACTTATAAAATAATTTTTTTACATTTTAGGGACTTAAGAAATTTAAAAGCGACCGTCGGTTCCGTATCTACTGCACCTATTCTCCAGGCAGCTACCTTATCATCAGAAGACTTTCACACCGCAGCTTCAATTATTTCCGCATGCGTTAGACCTAATGGTGTACCTTTACTAGTAACAAATTTGAACGAAGCATGGAGTTATCATCTTGATATGAAAACTTGGGTTAGAGTCTATGATCCTCGTTATTCAACTCAAGATCCTTCTAATTCGGAAACTTCTGAGGTGGTTGATGGTTCGATCTTAGCTTCGTTGGAAAGTATGGCAAGGCAACGTGGTGGAAATATTGGATCATTAGCATATTTAAGATATCCCGGAGGCAAGGATACACAAGGGAAGGCTCATGTAATCGGACATTTGGAGAATCAGCTTGTTTCTGCTGAGATGGTCAACTCTCCTACAGAGTATAAACGTTTGTTGTTTACTTATGCACAACAATTGGCCGATGAAGGGGCCGAATTTAGATTACATGAAATTTGTATGATGTTACTCGGTCCGATCAATGGGTATGAAATTTAATTGGGCTAAAATATTTTTTTTTAAGTGTTCTTGAAAGCTAAATTGTTCTTTTTAATGATCTAGACAAGATAGCATAAATAATAACCAAACTCTATCGAATTGGGATCCGTTCATTATGGTAACTTTAGCAAACGTAAATTAACTTCTCTCATTTTAAATTATGCCAATGTGAACTGACTTGTTTTTCCTATATTCTTCAAGGGTATGTCAAAACGGCAACTTTTGAAAGAAATTTTACCTGTTTTATGTAAGTAATTTTTTGAAACTTATTACGCGTTGTTTCATTTGGTACTTTATTTCTAAATACAATTGTTTATTATTTAAATAATAGCGGCAAATCGTACGTTGCAGAGGCACGTAACTGAATACGGTGATGCTTTGAAAAAGATATTGAAAATAGATTGAAATGACGAGTGTAATCAAGGAATCCTTCTTTTAAATTGAAAAGTTTTGTAATAAATCATAGTAATTATTTGATTATACGTAAATTAGCCAATTATTCCCAGAATAGTATCCCTCCTAATTTAGGTTCGGGTACATTTAATACATTCTTTGAAAATTTGCGGGTACCTTATGTCTGAATTTGTATCTAGGTCCGAAAATAATCTCTAAATAATAAAAAAAAATGTGCAGCACGAAAAATTAATTATAACGTTTATTTGTTATAATATCTATTCATTGCAGATTAATGCAAATAAAATAGTATGTTGTATAATTCAATTCTACTTGAGCAAATTTCTCACCTATAGATGAATACTTACTGTTTTCGAAAAAGTAAAAATTTCTTGGAAACTAAAAATATATTTATAATTTTATGCTTTATAGTAATGATTATTACCAATTTCTTCATAATTTTTTTCCTCTTATATTAATTTGATCAGATAATACATTTGAATTATTCAAATGGTTTAATCAAAAATATTTATTTATTACCTAATCATTTTGATTATTTAAAATAAAAATGGTTAACTTTTTTTCAAATAAATTTTAATCTATATAAATTAATTGTTTAAAAACATTTTTTTTACTCATTTAATTAAATAAATAAACCAAACCAGTTTATTAAATAATCAATAGAATTTTACGTTAATAGAAATATTAAAAATTCAATTTTTAAGATTAATTATAAAAATAATCAAAAATTATTTAAAAAAAAATATAAATAGTATATTAAATATTATTAATTAAATAATAATTTAAAAGTAATATAATGTGACTTGGATGCTTTTTTGTATTAATAAATATATTTTTTCTCTTGAATTATTTCAAACATATTTGATTGGTTAATAAAATGAATTATCAAGGTTCAGGCACTAATTAAATTTACTCATATTTTCTTATTCACAATAATGGTAACAAAAGTTAAGATTAAAATTTAAATTATTTCGTACATCGTATTTGTTAATTTAGTAATATTTAATAAAAAGGATTTAGATAAACTTATCATTATTGTTTTATTTATGAAATTATCAAAAATTGTAAGTTCATTTTAAATATGTTTATTAATATATTTACCATAAGACATAAACTGATTTTTAATCAATATTTGATGATTTTTAGTTTTGTTAATACAGATAATTAAGAATTCTCATATAACTATAAATAATACTATGTAATATAAGAAGGTTCCATATATGATTGTGAGCTCTTCAAAGTACCTTTACAAAAACTAATGGAAGTATAAGCTCCATAAATTATACATCCAACTTTAAGATCACAAATACATGAAGAATATTAAAAGAAGGGAAAATGCGCTTTATGCTTCTTTAAATCTAAATTGTTATAAGCATCGAAAACACTTATAATATAGACCTTCCATTGTCTACTTCAACTAAAATTTTAAATGAATATTCTCCTAACATTCATTTATATTATTTGATTAATATCTTTTTGATTATGCTTAAATTTCTTTGAAGTCTGACGAGTCTTTCATGAAATTCAATAGCTGTATTTCTAATATTTTTTATTAAAGGCAAAGCATAACCCTGTGTGAAATTTATTTTCAATTCCTCACACTCTTTGAGATTTCTTCAAGGTTGTATTTACAGGTTTCTTCAAAAAATCCTAATATGATCATACAATATTTTACAATACTTTCATTTGTTAATTTTTTTTTATAAAAAGATAGTTGTGATATCTAAATGTGTCTAAGTATTAAATTATAGAATTAACGAATAAATGAAGAACTCTATATAAAGTAGAAGATAAATTGCGAAGATAGTGATAACATATTCATATTATAATATGATTTTATAATTAGTATTGATTAATACACGTTTTCTTCTAATATTCAGAAATAAATTCAAAATTGTAACTTAAATTATATAAATTGTTCTATGTTAATGTTATACTCTAAAAAAGTATATTAACACTTTTGGTTCTTTTTATTTCTTTAATTCTAATAGATAGTTGAGAAGTTATATTTTTTCTTAGCGTTCACCATGGTTCACTGATAAAATTGGATTTGTAATATGATTTCTTCTTTTAAGTTAAAAACTTTTAGAATGGTTTTATAATCTTTTTTCATGAATTCAAGTTCCTTATCAGAAAACCAATCCTGTATGTAAGCTAAAAAGTCTATTATTCTCAATACAGAATATCTTAATATTGCCTTTTTTATTACTATCAATGTTTCTTTGTCCTTTATAGATTTTGCAAATTGTGAAATATTTTACTAAAAATGTTTTTAACATCTTACCCAAATGGCAATAGTACGCATTTTATAATATTTTCTAGCAGAGAAATTTCTTTTTCTTTCATGTTCACTAATGTCAGAAATTTGTCCTTATTATTTCTGACGGTAAAGTCTAGTTGTGATGGTAAATTTGATAAAACTGTATTATCAGGAAAAATATTAATTACACATATCTTTTACAAAAATTTTGATTAACGTTAATTTCATATGAAATATCCTACTATCTAAACTATTGGAAATGAACCAATCTGAAAGAGGAACTTAAAATACAAAATTTCAAAAAAAATTATAATAATTGACTAAGAAAACTTTATCTTATGATACAACCTGAAAAATTAAAAGATAAAATTAAAAATAAAACTAAGGAACAGGAACTATTATTAAGTCTAGAACGACTAAGTACAATAATTTATAATGTTTTCAAAATATCACAATTTTTGATAATCATAAAATTTTCTATCATCTATACATAATAAAATATATAATTTACAGTATAAATAATCTTTTAATATGTATATCTACCAAATTATAGTAGAAAATCATAGAATTTATAAATGAAATTTATTTAAATAGGGTCTAAATGAAAAGTCAATTCTATAACAACTCATACACAAGGTGATGAATATAAAGGAATAATTTATATTGATAATAGTTTACTTTATTGTAATTATTGCAACTTTCAATAGAATAAAATATAAATCAATAATAGATATACAGTGGCTACCAAAAGAAACGCAAGTGTGATTGGTTACCTTTGAACGGCTATAACTCATCAACCACAAATGC